CCCTTGCTTCGAGCGGTCTGCACTGGTGCTGTATCATGGACATGCAGCTGGCTGAAGTCGTGGACTATTTAAGACTCGGCAGATAAGCTTTAGTAGGAAAGGACTCTATAAGCCCTTCACATGCGCATCAACGTCGAACCCAGATTTCAGTTTCGAGTCAGAGAACAGCAGAACAGCTCGGCTCTTCACAGGCCACTGGAATCTGGCCATGATCGGAGGCCCGGTCGGCCTTTGTTCTCAAGAATGGTCATGATCCGATGGCGCGACCACCAGCTGATGCTCCGATCACCCAGCTCGGCGCCAGCCGAACAGCCAGAACCGAAAGGATGGGACCACTGCAATTTCCCTCATCCCCATCCCTATGAAGTGATCGATACAAGCTGCTTCTTTTCATCCGATGCTGGCTTATGCACGTTTCTTTTGAAGACGATTCGCGCGGCTACAATCGTGCATGGAAAATTGCGGGAACACTTCGGGTCCATAGATCCGGATTAGGCAAACAGCTCGTGACGGCTGGCGACCATAGCCTGCATGGTATGGCGCCGAATGCTGGCCTTATTTTCTTGGATCTTGTGGCTTCCATTGGATAGTGTAAAGCCAATTTTACATGACTTGGTTGCTCCCATTGGACAGTTGGTAGTTCAGCCGAGCGGTGCTGCGTGCGGAGTACTCAGACTTGCTCAAACTTTTTACGGCTATGGCATCGTCTTCGTTACTCCAATTGTCGAGAGACGCACAATACGCGGTCGGGTTCCTTAGGATGACGGAGGCCATATTCAACCTATCAAGCTCTTGCCTGGGGAAACTATCTAGTTTTTCGTAATAATATTTCCAGGGCGCATAATGCAGATGCGAAAGGCGAGAAGGTGCCCTCTTCCTTGACGGATATAAAGGCGTTCTGTAAGCTCCAGGATGTCGACACACCAGTACTGGAACTAGAACACCACGCCTCTTCTATGCTAACTCAGCTGGGAAAGGATCATGCGGGAACCCCCTTGCCCTATAGGTTGGTATCAGTGGCAAAGCGGCATGACACGAGGCTCCTTCCCGCTCTTGGGCTTTCCGTCCACTCACTCTACAGAAGACTAGTAACCTGTGTCTAATGAGTAGTTCACCCGGCTCGCGAGTACAAAAGGGCGCACATCCGGCCCCGTCTCGAGGTTGCCGTCTACGAAAAGCGTGGCTCGGCTGATCGCAAGCACAACGTTTCGCCATGTCGAGCTCAATCGGTGCTTGGCAGTTCTCTCCCATCATCACAGAGTTTCCCGCGAACGTTCTTCCCAATGTCGGCTTCTACAAGGCTACCAATGGATCATGGGAGTACCAGATCCAGCTTGCGTGGCCTTTGAATTGGACCACGCAGGCAGAGAGCACCACAGTAGAGACCATGTTGGTACCGTCTTTCCAGGAGTCGGACGACAATCTCACTAACGCGGCCAGGTATGTTTTAGATGGTAACGCCCTTGGTATGACAGCCACAGATGCCTGGCGTCGACGACGGCCGGTCGAGTTCAATCAGCCGGATAGCATTGTCGTTAGCATCGGATATCCGGAAACGATCGAAGACTCGCCGTACACCGAACAAAGGAGCTACGACTACCAGCCGCCAGTCTGCGCAGACTGCCCTCCCGCGGTACAACCAAACGTGCCCTCCAACGCCGACAACTTCATCCACTTCATCGACACAGCACTTCGCCCGTGGGTCCGGGAATCTGTTTTCCCAAAGGCCAACTTCGATCGGGATGCCTTATACGGACATTCGTTTGGTGGGCTGTTTGTCCTCTACGCCCTTGTTGCGCGCCCTGATCTCTTCGATACCTTTCTCGCTTCGTCTCCCGCACTGTTCTGGAACAACGACTATGTCTTCAACCACACCGGTTTTCTGGCCCCTCTTACATCGCCGACATCGTCACCGAATACAACCAAGCCCGCCTTCCAGCTCAGTTACGGAGCCTTGGAGCAAGCCCCAGTCCAGAGACGGAAGGAGACGGACGAGGAGTTTGCCTTTAGACAGAGCATTCTCTTGCCGATGAGGATGACGGACTTGACGACAAAACTGTACGAGACGTTGAAGGACAGCCCGGCGCTGCGGGACATTAGCATCCATGAGTACCCCTTCAGCGCCCATGCTGCGCTCGGGGGTGTTGCTATTTCCGATGGCATTGATTACTTCCTCGACTGGTAGAGCTGCGAGGTTTCATTTAGCCGCTTTTGCGAGCTGCGTCGTGCATGCGCAGGATAACGAGACTAATGACAATTCTTGATGATGATCTGACCACGTCACACGCTGTGATGTCCTCTTTTCACATGCCATCCATACCTTTTGGTATATGATCTTCATTCGCAACTCTTTTGTCGGAACTCATCCGACGGCCTTCTGCGGGACTTGTAAAATTGGAATCGATTCGTGTTGGTATTTGGCACAACAGGCGTTCCACGGCTGGCTACCTAGATTATCAATACTCTAGGTACTGTACTGGCCATGTTCGTAACAGATACTTACACACGATGAGCTGGGGGACCGAAGCATGGGCGAGGTTGACTCTATACGGCCGCGGGGTAGGTAGAGTATAGTACAGTACCTAATGGGATGGTAGGTATGCAGTACAACCACACCACACTTACATACTTTCTCTTCCCCCCCCCCCCTTCATAACCCCACTGCCCGCACTGCCCGCACACACGCCCTTTGGACGGTATCCAGCAGCATGTAACAACGTCCCACAAGTATCAACACCACCGCCCAGCCTCTTGCTCCAATCTTCCCTCTTACTCGGAAGCCCAAATGGCGGTCACGGCGCTACCCCGGCACCGCACGCCGTGCCATTGGCTGGAAATACTGGGGCTACGAGGCTCAAGGGAGAGAACCCGCTTTAAGCCTTCATGATAGTTCACCGACTTGACGTCTGTTGAAGCAGGGATTTCGCCTAGTCGGCTCCGTACCGACGTCATTGTTTGAGGATTTCAACGTGGGTCCCGCTCTCGCTGCTTAGTAGTCGATACGGACAAGTGTACCATACCTAAAGGACCGTGTGGGTTTTTTTTTTCTCTTCTCTGGTGGGAGGAGAAATTGGATAGCAACAGGCGGTGGGTTCGGTTGGTGTGAGAGGAAAGGATACATAAAGAAGCTGTTGGGGCCCACACTTTGATGTGAGGAGAGAGGGTCACTTACATAGTAGCACTGCACTTTTGTCTCTGCAAAGGACCGTTTGCCCAACGACGATACGGACACCGCTGGACGGCATATTTTGTTGTTATTTTTACTTTTAGAGACTATTATTACGACCACTCGATATAGCAATCCTTCATCAATCAACTTCATCAATCTAACCAGGAAGACGACAAGAACAAACAGAAGACAGGAAGAAAAATGGCAACTCCTTCACGCATGCCACCCCGTGGCATCTCAACCCTCAACCTCAACAAGCCCGTCCGCCCAGGCATCGAGCGCGCCCCCACATCCACCAACCTCTCCCGCCCACTCCCCATCCACCGCCTCCAAGGCAAAGTCATCTTCATCACCGGCGGCGGCGGCAAAATCGGCGTCGAGAGCGCCGGCAGACTGCTCGTCGAAGGCGCCAACGTAGCCCTCATCGACACCAACCAGCCCGCCCTCGAGGCCGCCGTGCCCGTTCTCAAAGCTGCTGTTTCCACGGGCGTGCCTCTCGAGTCACGGCTGCTTACGATTGCAGCGGATGCGACCAAGGAGGCCGACGTCGAGGCTTGCGTCAAGAAGACGGTGCAGCGGTTTGGCAAGCTAGATGCTGCGTTGTTGAATTGCTCGGAGAGGGAGGACAATACGTCGTTGTTTGAGATGAGCGAGGAGGACTGGGATCGTATTATGCTCATCAATGCAAAGTCTGGTTCGTTACTTCCCCCTTTTCTTTCTTCACCCCTTTCCTACAAGTCTTATCTCCTCTCGAGATTCGCCAAGGGTGCACATTAGATATTAACAGAACCCCCAGCCTTTCTCGGCGTAAAACACTGCGCGGCCGCCATGCGCGCCTCGGGCGGCTCCATCATCCTGCGCTCCTCCATCGCCGGTCTTCGCGGCATGCCCGGCCTAATCGCCTACTCGTCTTCGAAATTCGCCCTTCGCGGCATCGCCCTCACCGCCGCTGAGGAGCTGGGCCAATACGGCATTCGCGTCAACACCATACACACGAGCATCATTGACACGCCAGGCTACAAAGATGGCTGGGATAAGGAGCAGTTGGATGAGTTGAGGGATGAGACAGCACTGGGCAGGTTTGGCGCTCCGGATGATGTGGCGAGTGTGGTGGCTTTTTTGGCGAGCGAAGATAGCAAATTTATGACTGGCGGGCATTTGAAGATTGATGGTGGATGTGTTAGTGTTTGAGAGATGAGGAGGAAGAGTGATGGAATGATCGTGTAACTCTGGTGGGTAGCCTGGCTCTTTTTTTCTTTTTGTATGCATAGGCAAGTTACCTATTTTTTGTTTTTTTCAAAGGAGCTTGGGAAATGCATATCTCATTGCATTGCATCGACATGGGAGTCGTTGTCCAATGGACACGCGACCATGCTCAATCACCATATATTAGACTTTTTTTGACACGCATCTACGCAGACACGTTTGATTACTCTTATTTTGATCGTCGGGACTGGACATCTCTCCGTGTAGAAAATACACCTCCAATAGGTTGTGATCGAGAAATGATCACTTTCACACACTCACCTTCACCAGCAGTCACATGCCCTCGCGCTAAAAGCCTCACGAGTCCAAGCTTTGTAAACAATTTACAGCCCTCCATCTTCCTTCCTCTCTCACTTGCACTCACGCAAGGCTTCCTCTATCCAATACACCAACAACAGCATCGCCAACGCCCACAATGTCGAGCACTAAACGTCGCCGCCTGGAACGGTCTAACGAATTCACCTCGCATGAGGACGAAATCGCTGCCCAGTCACAAAAGGTCCGTGTTGTCCTCCCCGCCTATGAAGAGGTATACAGACTAACCTACATACTTAGATTCAGGATCTACGCGCAAAGCTCAGCAATGTTCAAACCCTAGGTCAGCACGGTCTTGAAGCCGCGAAGCATCAGGTCGAGATGTCCAAAGTTCAACAGGAATGTGCATTCGTGGAGCACCAGTTCGCCATATCCACTCTCGAGCAGGAAATCAAAGCCGCAGAGCACAAGCTTGAAATCACCAATCTCAAGCACGAGCTTGGTGCGGTGAAGCAGGATCTCGACTCTGCGCGTGAGGAATTAGTTGCGCAACGATTGGATGCTGCTAAACTGACGCATCCTGAGCTTGAGAACCAATCTTCAATATTGAACACGACTCAAGACTTGATTGCACCACGCAAAGGTCTAACGAGGAAGAAATCCATGCCGCTATGAACCCGGCTTCCGATTGGAAGGACGCAAGGATGGAAGACGGTGTATTTTCAAACTAGAATGTCATCGCCCCGAATACACCTGCATTTCGTCACCTGCGGCTTTTCGGGCTGGAACAATTGATCTCGATAAACAAGAAGCAAGCCACGCCGTATGGACAATGCCATGATCCTTGGGAAAAGATATATACCACATGGCTAGGAAATGAGGACCCTTGCCCTATTTTATTGGCGTCGGCCGCAATACCACCCATTGTGTGGCATGGAGATAAGGGATGTGCTTTAGATTGCCGCTCTTTAGCAGAACTCCAGATAAAGCCACTCATACTTTTCCCAAGTCTGTCTTTAGTTTGGAAGAGTTGTTAGAACTCATGATGCAGTCCCAATGGATGAAGTGCTTCGGATAGTTGTTAACCTGTGATGTATCCGTGATGTATCAGATATAGCTTGCAATTTGCTGTTCGTCGTATATGGCTTGCTTTGACCCAAATTCTACACATCTACTCTTTAAGACGCTGGATATTCATCGTTTGCACGAGTTAAGATATGCTGTTACATTGCATTTTCCTAGCAGTTTAAGATTTTGTCTCCCACCAGGCACATACGACTGTATAATTTAACTCCATCACACGTTCTGATTTGCTGTTCCACCTCTACTACGACCTCACAGAGATGGTCTTGTACGATAGCATAAGGGAATGATCGTCAGGAGGTGAACATTATATGTCTAAAAGTTCGGATATCGTGTCATAGTCTGTCATCGCCTTAGAGCCCAAAGTTTACTAAATTACCATCATCCCTCTATATCATCATCATCATTTTAACAGTCGGGATAAATTCCTGGCTATCCTTCTCTTGTTGTGCAAAGTCTTGCTTAAATGCTGCAAGCCCAGCTAGGATACCGCAGACCATCAAAATCAAGGAGATGACCGACCAAAGAATACCCCAGCACTGCGAAGAGCCACCGTACCGTTTGGCAAATACACTCGCATCACTGGAGTTGACTTTTCGAAGAATCAAATCATCGCAGATGTCCCAAACGCTGTAGAGAGAAGACATGACGCCAATGAATAACTGCAAACAGTTAGCCTAGCACACGTTACGATATACGACGAATGCTTCCAGGACTTTCAAAAGGGAACTCAACATACCACCATAAACCGCAGCGCCTCTCCATGCTCAATAAACCAAAACGCAACCAATAATCCCACCGCAAGTAAAATCGTCACAATCGTCAACCAATCCTTTCTCGCCCACCAAAGCGTCAGCAAAAAGCAGACGCCCAGCACTATGCTCGCAACTTTTGAAGCGACAATGTTGAACCCGCAAAAGGTGAGCAATGCTCCAATCAGCGAGGAGCCCAAGTAGCCAGCCGGTAATGTGATGAATTGCTTGCCACCGCGCATATGCGTTACACCTCCCTCGTGTGGATCCAGTGATATCGACTCCACCCGTCCACCCGTACAACATGCTGTTATCGCATGGCCAAACTCATGGAATGCAATAACGAGCATCTAATCATCGTCAGCATATTTTGTGCCATGTCCTCGGCCATGCCAAGGCATTGTCTGAGGCGTACGGTGCTGGTACAGCAATAACCGTGCAAAACATACCTTGAATGGCCACAAGACCCATCTTACATACGGGAGATTCCATAATAAAGCAATAACAACGACATACGCACCGATGACCCCCAGCGTCACAGCTTGAGTGTGATTTACCGTCAATCCGCGACGCTGAAAACGGTGCAGATGTGGCTGCGCCAGTGCGGGCCCTGCTGTGACAAGTGTCCGGCGCGCTAACTTGGCGAGTGTCGAGCGCGTTGATGGCGGGAGTACTGGCGCCATGTTGATCTACTTTGTTTGTCAAGTTAACGACTTAGAGGCGAGTAGAAACCTAGGTGTATGTATGCTGGTGTTGACCAGACACTGATGTTTTTTTTTTGAGGTTTCAGCTACGGCGTCGTCCTGTTGTGGCTGGGCGCATGCTTGACAGCTGACGCGTTGCGTGGTGCCCGAGTTTGCCTATGACATGCGCCTCGCTAAGTTTAGTTAGGGGTGGCTGTGTCGGCATCTTTTGGCGGAATGCTTTGCCAGTCTGAGTTCTTAAAGGCTGCATACTTCGAGTGAGCTTACTATGATTAGGAGCATGTCAGAGACAGTCTCAGTAGTGTGGAGGCTTTTCAGAATCAGAAGGTCCCCGTTGATAAGATCATTTCCCCTAAATTTGGCCAACTACACCAAGGGCAGGGCTGCCCTCTTGTGAGAGGTGTTGTTTACCTGGACTCTAGCTGCCCAAGGATGCCACGTGATTTATCGCTGGCCTGCTTCACTCTCCGTCCGCACTCGCCAACACCATATAATTGGTTTCCTTCCCTACACCGAATGACCATCGTTCGAGAAGAGACTTACGCAGATGCGTGACAAAATTATTCACAGGACTGATGATGGGAGAATGAAGAGCCTGATAGAATTACTTCGACCTCTCCAACACTATTCACAAGCGTCATGTAAGCTGCTTTCCTAAACAAGTACGACTCAACAAACAGCCACCCTTTTAAGTTCAAGTCACAACAACATTCAAACTCGACGACTGTCCCCGGTTGTCCCGTCGACGTGCTCTTGGTGCAGCGACATACTCCTATCTGGTGATGTGTCGGTGGCGAGCTTGTCTTCCCCATGCTTCTCGTCAAGAGATCCTGGAATTCCACCTGCCTGATTGTCCAAAACGCTTGTGCGTCGCTGCCAGTACGCGTCGTCGCGCTCGTTGCGAGTGATGTAGCCTGTGGGTATCCACTTCTTACTAGTAATAGCCTTGAGGTTTGGATCCGAATACATGACATCACAGTTCTCAAGCGACAGAGACTTCGTTTCGAAGACGAAGAAGTAAACGGTTGCGGCTGCGACGAAGTTGCAGGCAAAGAATACGAATCCGAAAGCATAGCCGATCCCATCGTTGGCATATGGTGTAAGGAACCCAATCATGAAGTTTCCGAGCCAGTTGAACGCAGTAGCCAAGGAGGCTTGCTTTGCACGTGACCGGAGAGAGAAGGTCTCGCCAATGACTACCCACACGAAGGGGCCCCATGTCATGGCGAAGGATGCGATAAACATACAGGCACAAACAATCATAACGGTTCCTGAGCTGGCGTATTCTGTTGGGGGTCGCACGATACCGATGATCGCGAAGATAAGGAGCCAGACGGCTTGCCAAAGACCACCGGCAACCAATGGTACGCGACGACCTACCCTTTCGATAATATAAAGACCAGGAATCGTCATGGCAACGTTGACAGCACCAAGAATGAGTTGGGTCTGAATGGGATCATCGATACCGGCTGCTTCAAAAATCGTGGCACCGTACTGTGGCGGATTAGTCGTGATCAGGTCCTCGAAAAAGCAGAACTTACATAGAAGAAGTAGTTGACTCCAGTCCATTGCTGCAAAAATTGTAGTGCGCATCCAAGAATTGTGCGGTAGAGAGTTCGTGGGATGTTAGATGGCTTGCCAGTGAAGCATTCGACCCAAGTTGCCTGTCCGGCGCTGTTTTGTTCTTGAATGGAAGATTCCATCTCTTTGAAATCGTCATTGACAAGTGGATTCGTTGGATCGTCTTTCAGCCCTCGTAGACGGGCAAGGGACATGCGTGCCTCTTCCCACCTACCACGTCCAGCCAGCCAACGTGGTGATTCAGGGCTGAAGAGGATTCCAATACCAAGCGGGAGCGAAAAGGCAATACCAAGACCAATGACTATTCTCCAAGATGCATCTGTATCATCACCGGGGTTGTCGCGGACACCATAGTTGATAAGATTTGAGATCAAGATGCCGATAGTGATCATCAGTTGGTATGAAGCAACGACAGCACCACGAATTTCGCGCGGGCAACACTCGGACTGGAACATGGGCACACCGATTGACAGGTTTCCGACACCGAGACCGGCGACAATACGACCTATCATAAGGTGGACCCAGCTCTCCATTGCCGTGATTTGTATGATATTTCCAATGATGAAGACAGCCACACCGATACTGAGACTGCGTCGACGGCCGAACCAGTCGGCGGTATAGGCTCCAGCCAACGCACCAAGAAGAGTACCGATAGACATCATGGAGACGACCAAAGATTGAATCGTAACATCGAATGCGATTTCACCATTAGCCTGGGTCTGACCGAATCGACGGATGAAATCCCGGAAGAGAAGCATAGACGAGATTTGGCCCTATCTGAAATCAGCTCGGTCGACTGCATGATAGATAGAAAATGCCCTACGGTATCATAACCAAAGAGAAATCCGCCTATGGAAGTGATACATCCTAATATGATGGCCTCCATTCCACATTCTGCGCCGCGAACGCGGACGGACCTGGTATGGATTAGTGAGAATTATAGTGGACATTGATGCATCGAAACATACATCTTGCCGAGACCCATGACTGCGGTTGCAACCTGTTACTCGATGAGATCGTGCAAGTCGAAGACTTGATCTTTCAAACTACTCAATGTCTACCTCAGGTTTCTTATGTACAACCATTGTCTGTTACTTGCCGTGTTCGTCAATGCGGTAATGCCGAGCGTCGTGCCCAGCATTCGATTCATGGTTCTACGTCATGGGCGCCACGCCGTCACTAAGGGATCACCACGGGAGGCCTGCACACTTGGCTGAACGTCCGTGGTATCCAATTATTATCTTGAAAATTGCCAATAAGGAGCTTAGCGGCTTCTACCGGTCAGCCTCCAAGGACAGTGTTGTGGGGAGGCCGAATACCATTCGGTCGGCCATGGCGACACCATCTGACATGTATGCAACTGGGCTTTTGACGATTGGCCCAGCACTCTGGTCATCGGATTACATTCAGATACACAGCGTATGTTTGCTCGATCAGAAGGCAAAATGTTGGTGTGAACGTTGTGCTTGGGCAGGCCAGAAAATACGCCCCTTTGCGCCTCTGATGCCTTTTCGCAGCTCCCTAGTCGGCTATGCTGTGCCGGGACGGCTGGCCGCACTGTCTCAAGCTCAACGACCTCTGATGTGTCAGGTGACAGTAACTCCATTTCTCGACCACTGGTACCTAGAGTATCGGACAAAGAACGTTTCCCGACACGATGGACGGTCTTGGCGGTGGGTATGCGAATCCACCTCAGAATCCACCTCAGAATCCACCTCAGGTCTGTGCAGTCTCAACATCATTTGCTGCATGCACTTCTAACCTCCAAACTCTTCAAAATGCCGCACTATCCAATGATGGAAGAAGTGGGTTGCGTGGTGTGCACTGCCTCCTTTGAGTGCATGCCCCGACAAGTCGATGACCGGTAAAGGACGCGCGATACAACGCCGAGCCGATTCAGGTTGCGGACGCGTGATACAAAAGATCTCGGTAAATCAGCGGTACTTGTAGCAAAAGACCCGCAAAAGAAGGCCTGTAGAAGGGCCCAAGAAGAACCGGCGCTGTGGAACATGTTTGCCACAAACGAGAGAAAGAAGAGACGCGTGGAGTTTATCGAGTTCTTGGCGGAAGATGCTTGAAGCAATGCACTGGTCGTTGAGCGTGCAAAGAAAAGCGCGCGGAGGTTTGCGGAGGCTACGATGAAAGCGTACAATAGTAACTGAGGCGACCAACGGGGTCGTACCTATTCCCCACAAGATCCGCAGAGCCTCAACCTCATTACTCGAACGAACAGCAATCTTCCCGTATATTTGACCATCTCAGTCAGCCTTAACGTGGGGTACCAGTTAGACCCGGTGCCAAGTCCATGAAAGGCCGACCACACGTCACACGTTCACGAAGATGCGGGGGTACAAGCCTTCACAGGCAACTCTCCCGGCACATGAACTACATGCGAGATTGAAAGCCGAGTTTTTTTTTCACTGGCCTTCGCTCAAGTCCCACACAAGTGAGGTGATATCATATAGAAAGTGAGGGAAAAAAATGCAAATACAACGTGGCAGCTATGGTGCAAGCTATTTGATCATGCCTACTGTCCAGACAGAACGCACTCCGTTACCAGCAATGCCTCCGATGGCCAGTCATGACTCCGCACGATGCTTGCTGTGAGGGGATATGTCGGGTTCGGTGTAACCAATTGCCTATCCCTCTGATACTCCAAGACTTCTTAAGCCACGCTAACATTGCAATAGACGTTACAAGATTCAGGGTATCTCCAACGTCAATTACACAGCCTCAGTCCGTGTGCTGGCCATCTTCTCATGGTGCTCGCTGTCATCATCCACCATCTTCGAGTCAAAGCCAGCCTCGGGTGCAATGTAGTGTTCTCTCTTCTCGAAACCAAACAGTTGATCCATTTGATCTATGCGGAGGCCTTTTGTATCGTGGATAAAGAAGAATGCGTAGATACTGGCACAAATGAGAGAAGTGGCGAAGAAGACGTACACGCCCCATTCCATGCTGGTGTACATTTGGGGCAAGGCCTTCGTTACAATCAGAGTCCAGATCCACACGGATGCGGCTGCCCAAGGTCCCGATATGGACCGCATGGATGCGGGGAAGATCTCCGAAGAGATGATCCAGGGAAGTCCATTAGCACCTGGCGTCCGTTAGCATCGATCCCCCGCACCGAGGACTTTGAGGTTGCCTACCAAATGACCACGCAGCACCAAATATCATGATCATGGCGGTAGCGGCCTTGCCACCAGCGACCGTTGACTCAGACATGGGCTGTCCGACCACGGGTTTGCCAAGCGCAATGTAGATAGCGAGATAGTATTGGCAGAAAGCGCACATCAACGAAGAAACAATCCAAGGCCACTTGCGACCGAATTTGTCGATGAACCACGTAAAGAAGATAATGGAACCGCCAGCTTTTATAAGTCCGTAGACTCCAGTCCAGAGCGTAACGTCCGACAAGCCGATAGATGTAAATATGGTAGGCGAGTAGTAGTTGATAGCTGCCGCACCTGACCAGGCTTGCCACATGAACATGATAAATACTAGCAAGAAGCGGTTGCGCATTCCCGGTAGCTTCGCTTCTTTGGCAGCAGCCTTAATGGTGTTGATGAAAGTGGCGTGCTTCTCACCCACAAGAAGTGCTGCTCGTTCCTTTGCGATTTCGTTACGTACGTATTGAACATCTTGTGCAATATATGGATGGTCCTCTGGCAGGTTTCTAAAGTAGCTGTACGACTTGAGCGCCTCGGCGTCACGACCACGCTTCAGCAGCCATGTCGGAGACTCTTTCAGCAGCGGGATCATCAGGGCGAGGAGACCAGCAGGAATCAGCTGTACCGCCATTGGAATTCGCCAAGCAACGGACTTGCTCCTGTCCATATTGTGTACAATACCGTAGTTGATCCAGAATCCAATAACAGCACCCGTCTGATAGAAGGACTCGAAAAAGCCCGTGAGACGACCACGAATAGCTGGCGGCGAGATCTCGGCGATATAGATGGGAGAGACGGCTGCGATACCACCGACACCCATACCAGTGAAGAAACGGCCAGCCAAGACGAGACCCAGTTGGTTCTTAGGAACAGTGCAGAGGATAGCACCCAAGATGAAAATAGTATCCGAGATTACGACAGTCATACGACGACCAAGGAGCTCGAGGGATGGATACATAAGTAACGCACCGATGAGCCCACCTGCAGAATATATGGAGGTGATGTTACTAGTCACTTCGTTCTTATTCGCTGGTGTTATACCGAAGTCGCGTATGAAGCTCTGGTGGGTGATGGTAGTACCAATAAAGGCTGAATCATAGCCCTACATCAGGTCAGCATAGATATGCCACTTAAGCTCAAGTGGACAAAGATACCTACATATGCGAGAACTCCCATTGATATGACAAGGGCAGCCATGTAGACCCTCCAGTTGTACTAACGATATTATTAGCTTCTGATAGTCTCGGTCAAGCATGTTGCACAACATACAACTTCTGGCGGCGTCGGCCTATCTTCGGGTGCTCTGGCGAAACCTCCCATGGTGTTCACCGCACAGAGAATCTCGGGAATAATAGACTTTGATACTAGGGAAAGGCTTTAAACTACCGATGTTGATCTCAAAACCTGGGGTAGAAAAGGACTTAAATGCGAACTTGTCCTCGGATCCTGTAGGTACAGCCCGCTTCCCCACAGTTGACCAGGTCACTGGGGCACTCCGATCAACTGGCACTTCCGAGCAAAACAGGCGGGATCGTGATAGTTGGTGCAAAATTGAAACAGGGGGCGTCATGTCATCACAGTATTCCACGAGAGATCCAAGCCATGCGACGGCCATCAGTGATAGTGTCTCCGCTGATGCGAACAGTATGGAGTCCCCGGTGGAGTCTCCAGGTGGCGTTAGTCATCGCGTGGTACGCCAGAGCGGCATCTGGGGTCGGCGAGGCTAAGGTCAGGATGTGTAGGAGCCGAGGAACGAGCTCGGCTACGCTAGAATGAATAGGGCTGATCTAAGTATGCTAGGTAAACCTTTGGCGAGCACCCAATCGCCATGCTTTGAAGCCGATCGCCTATGAGACTATGGTGTCTGGTGCTGCTCCCCGATTCCCACTTGTCTACAGGTGAGACACATTCGGAATCGTTGGTCGTGTATCGGAATCTGTCTCGGAACTGTGAAAGGAAAGGGATCTGGGCCACAGTATTTCCCTCCTCATACATACACTCGGTCTCCTTTGACTTCCCTTTGCAACAAGTTACCTACTTCTTCGAATCTACGACTTGTAAAAATGTTTTCCAACGAGACTATGGCCAATGGCGGCAGCAATAGCACCACTGCCTACTCTTTCCCACCCGGCATCCACGTCCCTTCATTGACCTGGTTCAAAAATGAGGGTGACCAGGAGATCGATTGGGACGTACAAGAGAAGCACTTTGAATTCCTCATCTCCAACGGACTACATGGACTCGTCATTGCGGGAACGAACGGCGAGGCAGCAACTCTCTCCACTGAAGAGAAAGCACTTCTTGTACAGAAAGCAAAGAAGACTGCTCAACGGCTTGGTCGTGGAGACCTTCCCATCACACTCGGCGGCGTAGCAGGAAGCACACGCGAAGCCATCCAACAAACAGTCGCAGCAAAAGACGCAGGTGCTACCGCCTTTCTCGCTCTGGTTCCGTCCTATTTTCACTTCGCTATGACACAAGACGCCATTGTGGCTTTCTTCCAGGAACTTGCGGATGCATCACCAATCCCCATTGTCCTCTACAACTTTCCCAATGTAGTGGCTGGTCTGAGCATCAATTCGGAAATGATAGATATCCTTGGCGAACACAAGAACATCGCAGCTATCAAGCTGACGTGTGGAAGCATCGCATCTTGTGCGAGGGCATCAGCAAAATTCAAGAAAAACGAATTTGTCACGCTGGCGGGACAAAGTGATTGGCTTATCCCAGCTTTGAGTGTTGGTGCTGTGGGCACTATTACAGGTGTTGCCAATCTTTACCCTAAGGTATGATACCCCCTTGCGATTCCAAATCATATACTAATAACTGTAGACATGCGTACAAATGTACAACCTCTGGCAACAAGGCAGACACGATGAAGCCTCGGCACTTCAGATCAAGCTCTCCGTCACCGAATGGGGCTTTGGCAAAGGCGGCATCAACGGAACAAAATACGTTGTCGCATATAAGAGGAAATACCCAGAGTCGAGCTCAGATTGTAGGCGGCCATACCCCAAATACTTCAACGTGGAGAAGAGAAAGTGGATTATAAATCAAGTATCTGGTCTGGATGAGATTGAGGCATCGTTGTAATAATGCAGGAGGTTCTCACAAACTGTATATACTCGATACTAAAAACTTTGTTTTTAGGTCCCTGGCTGTGTCAGAGACCAATTCTAGAAAATTTTGATTCAATGGGGTACTTTCAATGACACATTGTAGTCACAGTCATACCACATAATGATCACATTGACAACTGATGAAGAATATAACAAATCTGTGATCTGCTATTGAAGCTCAACCGCGAGAAAGTTAGAACACCAGTAAAGCCTCCTTGCAAGAGTTGCACAACAGTATAATAGTGCTAGGTACAAAGGGCATGTAATGCAAGGTAAAGATATATCTTGTAAATATTACATGAGCTACTGCTAGTTATTCATCTCGCGAAATCTAATAACTTGTATTCGCGAATTTTCACGAATTGGCTCCTTGTATCTAACTTGCTGCGGCTGTCTAAGATTTAGCTATAAAAGAGCCAACATGATCCTACTATTCACGGCAAATCTCCACAGAATAAGCTCACGACCTATTTCCCAAGTGACAAGATAAGTTGACATGGGGTTAACCGCATCTTCAAACCCCTTGATGTGAAGCAGTACAACCACTACGACGCCATACCTATAGAGTAGTTTTGAAGCAGTTGTCATTGGCACTATGACATCTGAAAATTTCTGCCCATGATTTTGATTTTGCATTCTGTATCATGGGTGACACACCGCGCCCAAGTCCTTCTCAGCCTATGGCATGTGAGCCGCACAGGTAAGTCTCAAATATTTCAATGGCCATACTGAAGAAGTCGGTATCATTGATTACTGGAACAGCCGCATTGTGAAATATTTGGTAAGGTGCATTATGCTGGCGCGAACAAGAAGACGTAACTGAAGATATTTAACAGCAAGAGCAGACTCTTCAGTCTTTAGAAGAATGCAGTCAATACTACCATGCCAGTGGTGTTACTCAAGAAATTCCCCACAATTACAAGGTTCATTTCGAAGTTGGCTTCGTTGAGCCAAACAAATCCACAGCATGTTTTTGCAATATATCCAAGCCCTTGAAATTTTGTAGCACGGCAAAGATAATATAGGTCGGCGCATGGCTTCAAGAAGCCCGGTGACCGGTAAGCTCAACTTCAGAAAGAATAAAGGACGATAGGAGCAGGAGCATGCAGCTTGTACGAGCTCGTGGATGGCGAATCTCGACGTGTTTACATCTCCGTCCAAATTATGTCTTCGATGAACCCAAATTTGGAGAGATTCTGCTTCACACGATTGCGAAGTGATGAGTAGCAAAGTACTCTTGGCTGACCAGTCTAACGTCAACTCGTCTCTTGCCTTCGTCTTGCCTTCTCTGTACTTCCTCGAGCAGGTCAGCAGTGGCTTTGGCGTTTGTAGCAATGCTTTCAAGACCTCGAATAGCTTCAAGAATCCATCTTCGTTCGTCCAAATTTTCTTCTTCGCATCCCCACATGAGAAGCGGCCATAGCAGGTTGACAGGTAGCGACTCATCAGTCTCTGCCATTAGATGCGACAAGCGCTTGATGTTGGCTATCGCGTTTGTAACCTCTTTCGTTTTCGGATACTGCACGTAGGCGACGCGATGTAGATGCAAAAATGATGCATAGTAATTGGCAAGATAAGTTCGGAAGCTCCGGGTGAGCGCAATAGCCAAATCCTTTGCAAGGTGCTTCTCGGTTAAGTTACCAGCAACAGCGTGGTCCATCAGTGCAGGACGCTGCCCGTACAGCGCATGCAGGTCTTGTGAAATTTGCGATGCAAGGGCCATCACATCTGTCTCATCTTGGACAGTGCCACGGCTACGGTGCCATGGGTCAATTCGAGTGATCCTTCCAACGAAACTTTGGACTTTTTGATAAAAGACTATACCGGGATGGTAAAGTACATCGAACAAGATTTCCTCAATCTCCGTATCTGGTGTTTCAGGCTCATTGGTAAGATTTGCAGCTGGCGACGCGTCGAACAAACTCTCATCAGCATCGGCAAGGAACAATCCTTCTCCGCCGGCAGTCGAAACAGCGCGCGCATCGAGGAGCCGGATCCAAGAGATAAGACGACGTTCTGGTATCGATAGTAATGACTTTTCCGTATTCTGGATCAAGTTATATGCCTCTCGTAAGTTCGTATGTGCTCTAGGTAGCGTCTCTGTGAGTAGCTGCGCAAGGTTTCAGCATGAATGTTTGTGACTGTCAATCGAACAAGCAGGAGTATACACTCAAGCACAGTGAAAACGCCTTCACTTACATCGATATATGTAAGAAGGAAGAAAGCAGCCAAGATATGTTTGACCCCATTTTTTACTAGCTTCTCGGTTCCGCCCTCACTTCGTACCCTTGCGAGTGCGTTGGAAAGCAGTCTTGCAGCGGACTCGTATAACGGTCTCCAATCCGCCTTCATAGCATCGCCGCCCAAACTGCTTCGTTGCATCTGCATTGCAGCGAAAGCCATGATAGCGGTTCGAACGATTGGCGATTCAGCTGCCATATTGGCAAAAAAAGCACGGGTTGAGGCCCACTTCGGCTCGACCGGGGTAAGTATTGGTGGCATTAGCATCTGTAGAAACGTGTTCAGAAGGAAGTCTTCGTCTACATGCCCGTTGGCAACATTTTCCGTTGAGAATGGTGATGTGGAAGCAGGGTCGACATGTGGCGGGCCGCGATCTGGCAGAGATGGCCTGCTTCCTCCAGCTTGAGGTCTTCCAGGAGACGACCCCGGAAGGGGGCCAGATGATTGGGGACCATAAGGTAAATGGTACAATGGCTGAGGTGTGGCGTCCATGTGCGAAGGAGCTCCTGCCGACGGGTCGACAGGCCAGGAGTTGGGACTAAGAAGCATTGCCTCGTCCCACGTTCCCATACCTAGACCACCGGAGAAGTCGAAAATGCTTGAATTTCCCATGCCAAATGCATCCAAGGGCGGTAGGTTGGTATTGGGATTGAACTGATGATAAGCTGTCTGGGGACTAGCAACCGCAAGGAGTTGCGATGTCTGCCCTGTACTGCCACGAGTTGGTGGAGGTCGATTCCATGTGCCTCATCAATCGATTAGTAACACGCACGAATATAGGAGACAATTCCTACAATCCAAATTCAACCTCTCACAATGAGAACAGCGTGGACGACGCTCATTGCAACGAACCTTGCGCCGCCTAGGCGTTGGTGAGTATCGACTGGTTATAAGAATGGTTCATCTCAAAATACCTGCAAGCATTGCACCCTGTCTTACTTCGCGCAGGGCGAGGGGCAGGCTGCTCATTCGCCGGTGCAGACGTCACTGGTGGTTGTTGCTCCTGTGCTGTTGATTGTGGCATACGGTCTCTTTTCATGAATGCATCAGTTGGGAGAAGTTGACTTGGTGTCGAGAGAGTTGGAGTTATGGGGGACCAATGATGACAAGCACGCTAGTGCATTTTCGGAGAAAGGGTTTCATGCTGTTCGAAGCTGGTTCGTCTCACGCCATTATTTCGAGAGAAGAAGTCCTATCGTATCAGATGTATCTAGGGGAGATTTCGAGTATTTTTTTAATCTGGTATAGCGTGCCCATGGCACGGTATATGTCTTCCGAGCAAGAAACCAGGGGAGCGCACTAAATGAAGGCGAAAGAAGCAGATGAAAAGGATGATGGGAAGGTATCAAATATTTTACCACTGTACGGGCGGGATGTTTTACTCGTTATCATACTTCAGGCTTTCGATTCTGTTGTTCGACAAGGCTGTATATATATCCGGATCATCGTTCTCCCGGAGCCGGGGCGTCAGGGGTTTCGTCGCGATCAATAGACGCGTGTAACTAGAGCACAGGATCAATGAATGTTTGATGGGTTAGGGACCACATCCCAATCCTTGAAAGTACCCTCGATCTCGACTATGATGAACTAGCAATGGATCCTCCCGCTACAGCAAACTCAACTGCGTCAGTTGCGCCAGCTACACCTGAACTTACAACACCCGAATCACCCGCCGTACAAGAATCTACGCAGCAAACACAGACAGTACAGGATGCCACTCAACAGGCACCTGCGACACAAGACTCGACACTTCAGGTGCACCCAGAGAACGAGCCTCCACGACCAAGTTCATTGCGGTTGACTCCTCATCAGAGAAATCGCTGCCACCACCAGCTTACGCGCGATGACAGACTTCGAGTAAAGACACTCTCTGAGGCCGGGCATCCAAGAACGTTCATAGCTTCCCATCTTGGCATATCCGAGTACCAAGTCAGATACGCAATACATGCGCCTCTATCACCCAAGAAGAGGACTGGTAGACCTCGAAAGATGAGCCAAGAGCAAGTCGAGGAATTGCTTGAGTTTGTGCGGAAGAATGGCCCTGAGAACAAAATGACCTATCCTGCTCTGGCTCGCCATTTCAGTCACTGGAACGTTTCTGAGCACACCATCCGTCACGTCATGAGGCGCAATAAAGATAAAATACGAGGTTGTGAACTGTGAACTCTAACCACTCATGTCCAGTTCACGCGGTCTGTGCCACAGCTTACGGCCATCTTTCCGAGGGTTCAGTCTGTCGTCTCTAATCACTCAATTTGCCGATCCGGACACCACAGCACTGTCGCCAGCAAAACCGTCTTTGCCAGAAAGGAAAAATGCAGCCGCTGCATCGACGGGGCTCCCGGCTAGAAAGGAGAGAAAGTCAGGTTCAAGGTCTTGATAGCATTGCCAAGAAATTGCTCTGGCGTGAGGCTGCCAGCTTGTGGGAATCCCAATTCCTGTCCATTAGCTACCAAAGCCGACATCGCCACTGCCAGTCTCCCTGGAATGTAATTGCCAAGTGTTATAGTACCTTATGTGGTATATTCCACGGTGAATCCTGAGGTGTTGGACCAAATAATCGCAATGATTCTTCGAGAACAGTGTGTAGGTATGGGCAATGCTGGATCTTATCATACGCGATATCTGCACCATCGCCATACCCGTTGTCACCTGCTGCGGCGTCGATCCCCGACCCGGTTTTCGGGATGGTTTCTGGATCTTAAGCCGCTGGTCAATTTTCTTGCTCATGGCAACCGTGGTGATTGCGCATCCAGCAATCACCATTACATTCATTTTGTGAATGATCTCGCTTCACACTGGATTACTGGTTTGAATGTTCTTGTATTACAGTAACGTCTAGAGCAAATCGTTCGAATACACGCCTCCTCCATGTTGCTACAGTCACTGCGATCCCGGCCCACTCCTTTGTGTATTCACCCATGCGACCGAAGAGGATCAGACCGGAGGCTTTATTGATGAGGGAGAAATACTCATAGGCCCACAGCCAAGAGCTACTTATGGTGATCAAATCCAGAAAGCATAGTCTATCCAGAGACCAACGTCTGCAGCATCACATAACGTGAAAAAGCTCAACTTATCTGGTAGCCAAGATCAATGTCTTCATCCGTGAAAGCGTCGCCGGAAGCCAATCGTATGTCCGAAAGTGGGTATCACTCCATCCTCTGCGTTCAACTTCTGACCCGCCAATCTTTCTTCAACCGAATCTCCCTCGTTTTGCGTTTCCTGAAGCTGTGGGTATGCTTTTTGACGACTTGTCAACAAGTGGTTCAACATGACTTCTCAAGGTAATTGAACCCAGAGAGTGCATGTACAAGAGTTTGGTACATGCGTAGGACGCAAGGCGTTCTAGCTTATGGCATGTAATATACCTAATTGCTGTCTTGATTGAGCGTGAGGTCCACCCTATGGTTCGGAGCAAGCTTTGCATAGTCAACAACATCACATTCACAGAAAGAGAGAGAGAGAGCTTCATACCGCCTTAGCATCTTTATGATAAACGGAAGACAAGTCATATTCATTACTCAAGTCAACAGTATCCCTAACTCTAGACCCAGCTATCGCGTATACGTACACCTAAAGGAAAACTCCAAACATTTTCCACCCTTTAATACGCAGGCTGACCGCGCAAACCTCCCATGCTGATGGGAAAACGATGCCTACGCAGCGTCTACCATTACAGCATACCCCGTCCTTTACACAGCTGCAGGTCTCTCTCCCTCCGGTGTCGTCAGATTCTTCGCCCTCAACTCATACTGGTCTTTTCCCTGCAACCCGGCGTTCCTGCCCCGTCGCCAGAAGAAGAAGCCCAGTGCACCAAAGAGGGCAAGACCGCCGAGGACAGCACCGACGGCGATGCCAGCCTTGGCACCGGTGGAGAGACCATCGTCACCGGAAGATTGCCCTGCGGTTGGGGAGTCCGTCGCAGAGAGACCGGTGTTGGTGGGTGCGGTAGTCAAGCTGGGAGTTGGTGCGGCAAAGTCGTCGCTCGTTACGTTGAAGCAGGGGACTTGGAGGTTGAATTTCTGGGTCTCGACAAATATCTGTTTGTGGTATGGTGGGTTAGGATCTGATGGTATGCTGAATGGGGGGCAGTGCTACTTACGATATCAGCACAGGCGAAGAAGGACTGGTTTCGACCGTTATTCTCGCCCTCGTAATCGGCCCAGTATTCGAGCTGGATTGTCGCATTCGTTCCAGCTTGAATACCTTCCAACGCTTCAATCTTATAGCATTGATGCCCGGGATCAATATCTGTGATGTTTTCTACGACTTGGTCGTTGAAATCCGCTTGGATAGTTGGGTCTGGTGGTAGTTTGTGTTAGGATTTGACGCAGAAAGATGGCCAGTGAACATACTGTCGGACACAGCAAGACGGAAAGCAACATGCCATGCGTCATCTGCAATGCTCAACGCAACCGAGCCTTGAGACAGCGGAAAGATGGTCCGATTCGAAGGTCCAGCCGTACTCCCACACGGTGCTGTATTGTCGTGTGCAGCATCCCAGACGCGATCATTTGGCCACATGAAAGCCACAGGCCCCATACTACTCCCTTCCTCACCTTCGCCATGTGTTTGTGCGCTCACCCATGCAGGCAGCACGGCAAAGAGAGAAACAAGACTCGACCGCATATTGGCAATGGATTTGTTCGGTATATGGTAGGCCACCGATATCAGGGGATATGCCACACAAAGTCCCGCGTCCAGCCCAGCTATATGAGCGCCAGACCTGTACAACAGGGTGGGGTCAACCTGCTTCTCACAATCATGTGTAGCTCGGCACCTGGCATCTACCATGCCACAAGCAGAGTCTGACAAGACGGCGCACACCACCCTCGTCTCCGCCTTCTCTCCTCGGCCGCAGATTCTGCATGGCCAAGTCGCGTAGTTCTTGCTCTGGTCTGCCCATCTGTCAAATCATACATGGGGAGCCACGCCCACGGGAACCAAGTGCCAACCACGATGAAGTGGCTCGAATGGGCGATGTAGCCGTACGCTCCAATAAGAGTGGTGCAGCGCTCGTGTCAAGAGCGAGGATGCAGCGCTCGTGTAAAGCAGCAAGGATGTCTCAATTAAAGTTATCTGATCATGCAAGTTGAGCCAACGGTGGCTTGCCTGCCCAGACGTATAGACGAGGTGGCCGAGGCGGGGGGGATTGGTGGATTACCGGATTTAGGCTAGAAGCTTCACTCGGTCGTCCATCTTATCAGCTCATCTGATAAAAAATCTGCATCTCCGACGTTCGGCCGGGTGGGACAAGGACATCGCCGACCCACTTTGGATGCGGATGCGAGGTCTAGGTAGACTATTGAATTTCCTGGATGCTCGAGCCGGCTTGGTGGGTGGAGAGATGGTAAGTTGCGCGTGTGTGAAGCTACAAAACGATGGTGTCGCCCTGTGCCCGGCTTGCATATTTTGTACTTTCTTCAATCAAGGTGGACTCGTAAGCCAGCACCTGTCAGTTTCTTTGCAAGCAAGATTGGAAAATCAACATGAAAGTCTCGAATTTCCTTGTCCTCGGCATTGGCGCCGCTACAAGCACCGCTGCTTTCTCAGACGACTCTCTTTTCGCCTCGCTGCTCAAACGTCAGGAGCCTGGTTCGGCTGCGTACAATTGTCATGACAACTGTGGTACGTTGGTTTTACTTTACATGCATCTAGCCAGAATTGTACCGGTACACCAAGAAAAGTTACTGGAAACTACAGTAGAGTAGTAGTCTCAAGCACATCCTCCTTGTCCAACCCACCCAACTAACCCCCCATCCCCCAACCAGGCACAGCCCTATCCCAATCCAAGCTCCCCAGCCCCTGCACCTCCTCCCCCTTTCTCGCAAACTACGCAAACTGCCTGCAGTGCAGCGGCCCCGATAACCACAACATCTGGCGCTACTATGGGCGCTCGCTGGCTGGGGCGGGGGAAAGGTGTGGGCTCGAGGTTGAGCCGAAGAGCGGGGTGCAGGGGGAGGTTGGGGCGGCGGTCAAGGGGGAGGGGGGGAGTGTGAGTGCGAGTGCGAGTGCGAGTGTGATGGTGGCGACGGGGACGGGGACGGGGACGGGGACGCAGATGCAGACGTTGGTTCCAGGGTTGGATTCCATGTCCATGTCCACGTCCATGTCCATGACGCAAACAGCGGTTCAAACTGGCATGGGTAATGCGACGGCGAGTGTCATTGCTGTAAGTTGGTTTCTTATTGTACACTGCTCTTGACACTCTCCCTCTCCCTCTCCATCTCCCTCTCTCTTTCCATCTCCCTCTCCCTCTCCATCTCCCTCTTCCTCGCTATCTGCAACCTCTAC